TTGTTGTTATTATTATTATTGTTGTTGTTGTTGTTGTTGTTGTTGTTGTTATTGTTGTTATTGATGATAATACGTAAATGCGCGAGCGTCTGAATTACATTTGCCATAAGTTAATCTGTTAAATTCAAAGGAAATGCAATATTGGAATTGCCAGTCAACGTTGAATAGGGCAGCGGGAAAGCAACATTTTAAACGCCTCTTATTAAAAAGTCAATAAGAAATCTGTGAGGAAATGTGTTAGTAAGGGCGAACGAGATGAAATGTTGTATTAAACTGATAATTCATAGGCGATTAAATAGGGTATAAGAAAGAGTGCAGGAGAAACGGCAAAGAAACTCTGCCGATAATCAAATGGAGGGAAGCTCGCCTTCTTGGCTCATTATTATTTTGCTTTTTATCTCGTCTACTTTGCTTAAAAACTCCTATTTACCGACCTTTAGAAACACAATATTTTATTTGTATAAAGCGTAGTATGGGGCAGGAGGAGGAGGAGGAGATGGAGGAGGTGGTTAGGCAGGGAGATGAGCAACTTTTTTTCAAAAAGTCAACGTTGTACAAATTTGGTAAGACAGTTTGAAAAGAGGGGAGGCCGCCGCCGATTAAAAATCTCCCATTACCAATGTCCACGCCCCGTCTTAATCTATTTTTCTTTACAGCGCGAGATTAGAACTCGAGTAAAAGTAAAAGAGACCTAAAAAATCGGTGTAATTGATCTCACTAAGCAGTTGCCCCGTGAATCGACGTGTAGAACGAAACTTTGTAGGTGCAGCAAGTGTAACCCAATAGGCTTCCTGTATGAGGAAGATCGTATGCTCGCTGCTATGAAAAAAAAAAAAAAAAAAAAAAAAAAAAAAAAAAAAAAAAAAAATGAAAAGAAAAAAAAAAGAAAAAAGGCTGATCGGCACATCGCACGCGATCAAGACGCACGTCAGAAAAACTAACGATCCTCGGCTGCACCAGTTGGCCACCAAAAATCCCGATAGCCGACTCCCGGCGGTGATGCGTTGTCTTATAGCCGACTCGTCAATGCATCTGACCTATTGAATTTTCGGTCCTTGGAAATATCCTTAAGTCCTTCTTCGCTTATAACATTCTCATATTATTCTTATTTAGCGTCGGATCGTTAAAAGAATATCGGATTTTAAGAAGGTCGATAATTCGACCGTACGTATTATTATTTTTTCAAGATATGGGATACCTTAAACCGTAAATCCTCGAAACTTTGAAATTTATTCTATAGGGGGGTAGTGGTATTTTTATGACTTTTGAGCACAATTTATAATTATTTTTTCCTTCCAATTGCAAGCAACTTCAATCCTATTGGTTACTATACGTTGTAACTTTATACATTTTCGTAACCAACCCTTTATAAATATCTTTAGAATTCTGAGATTTTGCATATTCTGATCTGATCTATCGAGATCAAAATACAAATTGGTAGTAAGCTTTGCATCGTGAATTCTTCGAAATATAATATCTTTAATGCACAGTCATTATTATATTACGCATTTAGAAAACAAATCTCTGAAATTTTGGATGAAATAAATTTTTCCATCGGTTTGGTTGCATTTTTTCCCATAATCGTCTCAAACGCGCGATTGTGCGAAAATTTCGTTTCGCCAAACACTTAATTTTACTATGGAGCTCGAAACTCTTGGATCGCTAAGCAAATTAATTAAACCGAAAAGAGAGAAGACGCTTGACTTGGTTACGCGACGATTGCCAACCGCTAAATTAGCCAAATTGTCAAATAATTTTGGTAAGAAGAAAGGAGACTCGAGAAACCACGAGCTAAACAAAAACTAAATAACAAAAAAAAAAAAAAAAAAAAAATAATTAAATAAATAAATAAAAATAACAAGAAAATAAAGACGTAAAAAATAGAGAAACACACTACTGACAAAACTTCGGACCGACTAATCGTTCTGACATTTACCGCAGAAGCCGCCTCGAGTAGCTCGAACAGTCGCTGCCGAGAGAATCTTTAATGTCTCGTTGATTTATAAAATTTCATACGGACTCTCCTTCGCCGTGGCATCCCCCTCCCCCAATCCTCCATCCACCGCTTGCCACCTCAACCCCCCTCCAGTCCACCGCCGTCGCCGCCGCCACCACCCCACCTCGCCGCCCTTCGCCATCTCACTTACCACTACCCTGCATTAATCGTGCTTGCCCGAGCAGCCGCGGCACGAGTATGCGGAGCCGGGTGGCGGTACTTGGATCGTCATCGGCTCGCACTGTAAATAGGCCGAGGATTCGCATTCGGGGGCAGCGAGCCGTCGGGGCTTGAAGGGCACTTTGACAAAGGGACGGGCCCCGGAGAGGAGTCAGAGCCGCGGGTGGCGGGACCAGATCTCCTCGTCCGCGCGAGCATAAGGCCTCGGGCACTCCAAGCCACTCCAAGCCACTCCAAGCCGGATCTCGAGAGATTAGGCTCCAGGAGTCCTTTTGGATTCTGCATCGGGCCGTGAGTCGCCGCATCGTCGTTAGTCGCGATTAAGACGCTATTTTGCGGGCCCAGGCGCTCGGAAATTCGAGTGATTGTGTATCGCTTTCTTTTACACGGCCACAACATCGTGGCCACTCTGCTCAACCCTTACCCTTTTCTTTCGAATTGAAGTTTCGTTGTGGTGGTCAATCGACTAGAACTGCCGATCATCGTTGCTCCGATACTCCCTATACATTAATAATCCCTTGTTCCTCACTCGTTCACTCACACTTACTCACACTCACTCACTCACTCTCTCTCTCTCTCTCTCTCTCTCTCTCTCTCTCTCTCTCTCTCTCTCTCTATATATATATATATATATATATATATATATATATATATATATATATATATATCACTCTATCTCTCTATCTCTCTATTTCTATATCTTTATATCTCCGGCAACTTTTATCTCCTTTGCGTTTCCATAATCGCTCGCTTCTCATTTATTTGTTAAACGTTTGTTAAGTCTATAACGAGAGGATTAAAATTACATTCGATTTATATTTAAGACAATGTGTCCTACAATATTTTCATTAAGTGATAATTAACTAATAATATAAACATCTACTGCCATTTCATTCGGTCTGCATATTAGTAAAATGAAAATATAAATTGAAATTTCAGGTGTCCCTTCGTTTACAAGTATTTTTCATATTACATGATACTCGAGGAAAATAATTCCAACATTTTCTACTACAAATACCTTATGTTTTATTGCTTTATTGTACAATGTCATTAAAATTTATTAGACTTTACATTATTGTTATTAATTAATTAAATTCCGTACGATAATTCATTGACATTGACAATTTGTGATTGATAATTACGTAAACATTGTTTTTCGAAAAATCGATGAATTATTGCCACTCAATGATAATGATTCATCATACAGTTCTAAATTTTAATGAAATTAGGGTAAGATTTATAGTTTCCTAAGACTATAAAGTATTATATTATATTATATTATTTGCTCGAGTGGTTTTCTTACAACCTACAAGCACATGCCACAAAGCAATTTGATGTTTCTTAGATTATACTCTATCGGGCACCGTTTCCTTCAAATGTTCATGTGAATTCGACATTGCCGATCATCATTTATAATAAATAATGTTTTTTTCTCTTTCTATAGTGCTTATATTAATGAAATTGGTATTTAACATAAAAAAAACTTTATCAAGAACAATTGGGCGTGACGCATGACGTTGAACAATCGAAGGCGCATATATAAAGTTCTTAATTCTTATATCATATTTTATTGTTAGAGAAACATGTTTGTTATATGCAATAGTTGTTAAAATAATTCAGCCTGTATTGGCAGAATTTTAATAAGAAAAATTTTAAAAATTCTATAGTTATGATGCTCGTTGAGCCGACTAATGCACAGAAATATCGACATAAATTGGTAGTTTTACCTTTTACATGTTTGAGCGAAGAAGCCATTCGAATAGTCTGTAATGAAAAATTGAATTATCCATGAAAATTTATTTTTAACAGTCAATTTACAACTGTGAAATATCCGTTAAATGCCTCCTCTTAATGCTATGCGCTTGAGTCTTCTAAAATACGATGGCTATTCATTGTCTTTGTGATAAGAATCGATTCAGATAAATCGGACGGAAATTGAAAAAAAAAAAAAAAAAAAAAAAAAAAAAAAAAATTCAAAAGTAAAATCTCGCTATACACATTACATTTGAAATTTCAATATAATTTTTTCCTGCATTTACGGCACGTGATGAGAGATCGGTTGATTGAAAATATACAAGCGCGCGCGGGCGCGAGCGCAACACACACGCTCCACACACGACCCACACACTGGCACACAGGCACACGCGCAGACAGAAAGAGAGAGTGCCATAAGCAGCCACAGATGCGACACGCGCGCTAATACGTGTATACATAAGCGCATGCGTACGCATACGTATATGCATGTGTATGTGTGTATATATATATATATATATATATAATAGATTGATTGGGGTAAGGCGAGGGAAAGTTGTTATAAATATCATAAGCTTGATATCTTTGAATTAAAATCTTTGATTAAAAATCACTGTACTGGACCTGAGCGTTAAGCGTTGAACAATGATACAGTGAGCTTCAACAGAGCATAATTCGTTATTAATTCGTTATTTTATGAAAATACCTTTATCGACGAAGACTCGAGAAAGTCGCTCGCCCTCGAATCTAAAGTGCTCGGCCATTGTACAATGTCGACCAATGTGTAAGCATTTGCAGTTTCCGATTAGAGAGACGAATTCGTTCAAGGACAGCGGGTATGAAATGTCATATGCTCCTTCTTGGGAAGCACGCGGAAGTAAAAGCGCTCCCTCCGTCATCGAAAGCGAGCGAAATAGATGATCGCAGGGTGGGAATGCGTGAGTGGGCCGGTGTTGCTCCGCTCCTTATACGGTTATTAGCGACACGTTAAAATCGCTGGGGATCGCTCGGTCGCGGAGTGGCATTTTCTTCCAGGGCACTGGTCTGCCGCCGGCTCGGTCAGACGTCCGCGTGATCGTTGGCCTCGCCGACGGGCAGTATTCGGATGAGGTCGTTGGTCGACTCGACGACGTTGGTGTAGCTGACGGTGTCGGTGCCACGGTGGCGCATCTTCATCAGCCATTGGTCGAGGCAGCCGCGCGAGTAGTAGACGACCCCGGTGGCCAGTAGCCCGAGGATCAATAGCGCGAGGCAGACCCAGAGGATCGGGTAGAAGATCCGGCCGACGGCCTCGGCGTCGAAGCCCCGGCGACCCTCGGGGGGCTCGTCGCACTCGAGCTCCTGGCTCGGTACCTCGTGCAGCAATTTGCCCCGATGCTTCAGCGGTGTTTGGCACCTAAGCCAACAACAAAGCCATGGCGATATCGTGAGGGGGAGGGCTGGGGGTGGGGCGGGACAGCCGTCTGATTTTTTCACAGCCGTGTTTTTTTTATCGTCGGGGTGGTCAGGGTAGGGATAGGGGCTCTCGGTGCTCGTAAAGTGAGACTCGAATGGAACGTTTACAGCCTTGCGTGCGAGCATTTTTAAATTTGGCTCGCGATTCATCAAGTAACGGCTTTTTCTCTTCGATTTGTCATTTTGCAATACAATCCACGGTTGTGTAATTAATTGAAAAATGACGAAAAACCGCGCGTTGTGAATTTAGCGACGGGACCAATGGCGATTATCAGATAAGCAAATAATTGATGGGTAATGTTGCAATTTTTAAATTTCCTCCTGCGAGAGACATTTAATCCGGCATCCATCCGTAATCGCGAAATTGCACGTTACGGTTATCATAGAATGGCAAGAAAAGATATCAAATTTTTTAGATTCGGAAAGTTAGTTGGTGCCAAAGTAATTAGTTGAGAGTTCTATTGGGGAAATATCCGAGCTATCGTCACCGAGGATAGATGTGTAGGCAAATGAGTGTGAATTTGGCTCGAAATTACGCATCCTCCCTCGCTGCTCTGACAAGCTTAAGCTGCCATCTATGTATATCCGGGTAAATCTACTTGTATGCATGGGTGTCGCGCGCATGGGTAACGAAGATTAACCGACACTTCACTTATTCGATTAGGCTACATAACGCAGTAACCGAGAAGCATTTGACTCTTTTAATTGGAGAGACAGTAGCCAGGGCAGAAAGGGTAGTTTACCTGAAGCTGCTGACTAGGTCGGTTGTGAGGTTCATCGCGTTAATCCACTTCATCCTACAGTCGCAGCGCCAGGGGTTGCTCTGTAGATCGAGAATGGCAGTTTTCTGTATTATCGGCAGCAGCTCGGAGTTCAAGGTTTCGAGGGCGCAGTTTTGCAGGGAGAGTCTCTTGAGCCTCGGCAGAAGCTTGGAGCTCATGGGCCTGAGCCGCAACTGCGAGAGCCTCGGGGAGTCGCGCATCGAGAGAATCTCGAGTTGGGTGAGATTTTCGAAGTTGTTGAGGAGGATGGAGGTGAGGTTGGCCGAGTTGTCGAGGGAGAGGACCAGTAGCTGGGGCATCACGAAGCTGCCCAGATGAAGTATGTTGGTGCCGTATATGTAGAGGACCTTGATGCCGGAGGGTAGGGGAGGTACGTCCTCGATGGGGTTTAGTGACAGGTCGAGGTGCTCGAGGTTCGACAGGGGCTCGAACAGCGACGGAGAGAAGTAAGGTGATGATACGTTGCGCAAGTCGAGGTGCTTCAATTGCGTGAGATTTTGGAACACATAGGCGTCGATGTTTTCCTCGATCGGATTACTTGCCAGCGAGAGAAATTCCAGGTTCTGAAACATTCGATGAGGATAACAAGAGAAGAGAGTCTATTGAAATATTATTCCTACTCAATTTTTTTTTTTTTTTTTTTTTTTTTTTTTTTTTTTTTTGCCAAGGTTTACTCACTTATATATTTTTCTCGGCGAATATTACTTATTATTATTATTATTATTATTATTATTATTATTATTATTATTATTATTATTATTATTATTATTATTATTATTATTATTATGATTATTATTACATTGGTTCATTCGAATACATTAGATTCGTAGAAGGAGTAATGCTGATTTTGTGCATCGCGGCGAAGCCGTTGACATTTATAAAGTTAAAAACTGAATTTTATCGTATCACGTTGTTTTAAATGAAAAAAAAATAACCAAAAATGTCGATCAGTAAGATATTTTTATATAATTTAAAATGATATTTAATTTACAGTATTTTTCGAAGAAATTATGACAAAACCTCAATATTCCGATAAAATATTATTAATTATTAACAACGAATGTTATTTTGAAGTCCCAATGTGTCAAAGATACACAAATACCAACTGATTTGTTCTTTAATTCTAAAATTATTAAATATTCGCGCATATTCATCAACACTTTTTCGCTTACATTGAAACTTTTTTCTTATTACTGTGTTTTTCTCGGTCTAATAATTTCAAATCTTTTTGATATGTATTATCCGATATCTCTCAGATGTGCCAGAAATTATATCTTTTATTATTGATGAGAACTTACAACATATTAATTATAAATATCTTGTGCTACATTATTTAAATATTTTAAAAAATTCTTATAATTTTCTTTTTCCGTACGCGATATTACAAGTTTTTCGTAAAAATGCTCTTTACACCGTGAATATTTTTACAAATGGCTGTTTGCTTCAAATTAGAGAACAATTAAATACTCGATAATTTATACAATTTAATATTCTATTATAATATTATTGATAAAATATTAATATGCCTAAGTATATATATATATATTATGAAAATCTAGAACATTTATATTTTCCTTGAATTTTTTTTTCTTGCGTCCTTATTATTATATTACATACGCAATTTAGTAATTATTTATTAAAGCATTAAATTAACATAATTTTTTAATTATTTGTAATTATGAAAAAAAGTTATGTTGTTGCATTATAAATAAGCAATTCATTAAAATTTATAATTTTTGAAAAAACGTTAAAACTAGAAAGCTTATACAAAAAAAAAATATGTAAAACATGAAAAATATAAAGATATAAAAGGACAATGGAATAACCGTCTAGATCAATATTTCAAAATTTTATACTAAAAATAATATCTAAATTGAAATATTTTTTCAATGCTTGTAGGAAAATAATAATAAGTTGCGTTTTATAAATGTTTTTATAGATTTTTAAGAATGACAACGACTAAAGGGAAGAAAGTGTTTCAATAAGAGTAGTTTTGATTTTATTGATGATTTGAATATTTTTATATAAATTTTAAATAAGTTTTTGTTGGATTGAACACAATTTTTTTATGTGATTTATACGGTTAGTACATATTTTATGTTTATGAGTTTCAATAATTAGTATTATATTTGAATATTTTGAATGTAAGGAAATGATCATATTTCTTGTGTTAAATATTATTATGCAAAAGGAATTACCTGGAAAAATATACCATAATGTACCATTAATATAATGAATATTATATTTCATATTATTTTATTTTATCTTCGATGCTCATACCATATCTTTTATATTTTTGGCATATGTTTATATTATCTATTAAGTTTTTTCTGTTATCTCTAAATTTTATATTTTTAGATCAAGTATAACTATTTTAGATTTAAAAACAAAAGAATCCATATAATTACATTTATAAAGATTACAATTAAATATATATATAAATATATATATATATATATATATAGTTTTTTTGTTATTATAAATTCGAGAAACCTTTACTCTTCGTTTAACGAAACGATCCATTTATATATACACATATATATACCAAAAAAAGAAAAAAAAAGTAAAACCAATAAATAAACATTAAACAAAATTATTTTAATCTGTAAAGTTTATGCGATAAACTAATTTATTTTCAAAATTTAGACGTATTGGCATACAAATGTAGAGTTATTTATAAATTTAATGCAAATATAGCCATTACTTTTTAAGATAGCAAATTAAGGCAACATTGTAAAATGATAAATCAGAATCAGTTTAATAGCTTGATATTGTGCTGTTAAATGTTATTTTCTAAATTATCACATATTTTTATATATTCTCATTTTCTTTATTTTTTTTTTTTTTTTTTTTTAGTAAAGCATTAAGAAATTTTTCGTTAACTACAAAGTATTCAAATTTTGTAAAATCAATTTTACCACGTTTATATAAATAAATAATACGTATGTGTTCGTAGAAAAATTGAGGACATATATCATAGCCATTAACAATTACTCAACACTAACAATTTTGCATAATGAAAAATTTATCGATATTACGTGTTTGTTAAAACTATAGGCTTTTCAGTTATAATTAATGTAAATTAAAAAGAAAAAAAAAATAACGCAACTTTCATGACAATTAACAACCATTTTTATCTAATCTCATAATAGAACTACATAGTTGCGATTAATTAATATTTATATGATTTAAAAGGTCTAATTTTAAATCAATAGTTGTAAAAAAATAGATTAAATCTATATTATTTTAATGTTTTAGAAATTACAATAATCAATGAATTAATAATAAGTTTTACTTAAAAAAAATAGGAGAATGTATTAAGTTAATTATTAAGCAATATTATTGGAAGTCTTAATATCAATATAATTTGTCCCTGATTTAAATTTAATTAAAATGCAGCAATTGAATGACTCAGTTTAATTATCAAATTCAGCTACTTAAAAATAATAAAAAAATTCTATTTCTATATTGATAAAAGGAATTTTTTTTTAAATAAAAATGAATTGTTTTCTATTCTATTTTATAAAGAATGTTCTATTTGAAGAACTGAAATACAAAACAAGTATTATTATTAAATAAATAAATGTAAAGAAATTTCAACGTATACATTAAATAAATTGAGCTTAGAAATAAATGGTGTAAGAAATTATCATCAAAATTAATATTAATTGGAATTTAATTTCATTATATTAATGACTTGCATTTCTCCTCTCCTTTACTCTCTATCAAACTATATTTATCCTCATAAAAAAGTTCATTGAAAAAGACTACTCACTGATATGAGGGAATCGTTACTCAATTCAACTAAACTATCCTCAATTCGAGTCCATTGTTAATAAAATAATTGATAATATCATTCATTCTTTAGTATCAACTATAGTAAAGTATATTTATGATATCGATCGGTTTATTAAACAAATTGCCTATTAAGCAGAGAATGTTGAGTGTGTTGTTGATAGAATAGTGGTAGACAATTGTTGAAAGAAGATACTAAACGAAAGATGATTGTATTAAACATTCGTATGAAATTGATTAGGAAAGTTTGGCAAAAATGTCTTGTTCTTTTAAAAATTATATCTTAATATTGGGTCGCTGTGTCCATAATTATTTTTTAGAGTGAGGCAGGTGGATTGTTATTTTAAAAGTCTATTCTATTCTATTCTATTTATTTATTTATTATTATTGATTTTTTTTTTTTTTTTTTTTTTTTTTTTTTTTTTTTTTTTGAATAATTAAAGCGAGAAATTAAAATAAGCCTGTAATAAAAAGGAAATTTATAATATTACTTTAACCAAATTTATATCACGCTTATATTGTATTTGCTAAGCAATTCTGTGATATATTAATATGAATTCTTTATCGTTCCATAATGATAAATATATCGTCGCAAATTAAAAATAATTTTAATCAAAATTTAACAGTGATATAGTTCATTACTGCATCATAATATCAAATAAATAAATTTATTGTTGCTTCATTATTTATATAATTATTTTAATCACTAGATATACATAAATCATCATTATTATTATGTAAGGCTAAACGTCTTTTTTTTTTTTTTTTTTTTTTTTTTTTAAACTATACGTAATAACGCCTACGTAGTTAGTATGATATTTTTCTTTAGTGCAAGATGCTGAAAATTTTGTTTTCATTGACAAACTATTTCCCAAGGACGCTAAGAGCTTGCACGTACTTGAAGAAATAGATGGTTTTGTCAATACATTTTGTGAATTTTTAATAAAATATGCGATAATATTATGAAGTACGTACCTTCATATGCTGTAACATGGTATCGTTGACAACATAGAGATCATTGAATGACACATCCAATATTTTCAATTTCATGACCCGGTGATTTAGAGCTTCATCGTTGATGTATTCTATTTGATTATGGCTAACATTTAGCGATACTAAATTTGATTCTTCTAGACACAAGAAGAAAAACTTTTTAAGATTGTTATATGATAAGTCTAATATGCGCAAACTATCGAGCTTTGTAGAACAGTCGAGAAAACTGTCGAATTTGTTCCCTCGAAGTATGAGTTCGTTCACTTCGCGCATATCAATTTGGTTTTGAATTTTAATAAAGAAATCTTCCCTTTGTAAGTCCCGATACGATAGGTCGACCTAAAAATAGCATTTAAAAATAGCATTTAAGAACTTTTGTCGAAAATAAAAATACGCCGACAAGGTTATAACGAAGAGCCTCATCAATAATTACTTCATTATGGCCTCTTTTATTACTTATTGCCATTTATCGTACGGATTACGAAATACTTATTAATCAAATAACTCAATAGCCACGTACTCAAATTATAAAAGAATAATAAATAATGTATGAGTAAATTAATGTTAAACGTTTATAAACATTTTGGGCGACTATTTAAAATTAAATACCATAAGGAGCCTTACCGTTTTGGGAAACGTGGCAATTGCAGTGCAATAGTTCCATTTCATGAGAACGAGAATACTTAGCCATGATTTAAATATCATTGTCACTCTGTATTATTCACTGATGGGCGCAAAAATAATAATGCCAATGTTACACAATGCACAGAATCATAAGGCACCGCGAGCGTTTTTGTTCCGATCTTCGAGTACCGATCGATGATCTGGCCAAGAGGCAAAAAGAATTCATCGGCGGCAGACAGGTCAGAAGTTCAGAATTGCGAGGCAAACGGCTACTTCTGTTGCAGAGATAAATTCAGATTAATTCATTCGCTAAGCTCCAAATGTATGGAAATCACTGAGCCACTGACGTTCAAAGGGGCGGATTCAATATTTTGCAATTTTTTAATTTTTGAATTTCCCGCGCTGAAAATTTAAATTAACACTTGAGGTATGTGTTTATTATCTATCCATTTCCGATTGTCATACGAATACGTGCATTATCAGCACCATGAGCAGCTATATTTATCAAATTAACGTAATTAAACATTTGCTCTAAAATATGCAGTTAATGTATGTTGGGAACCAATAAGTTTTTCAAAATAGACAAATAATTTTTATCCAAGATTTTTCTTATCATACTTATTTTTCTTTTTTTTCTTTTTCTTCTTCTTCTTCTTCTTCTTCTTCTTCTTCTTCTTCTTCTTCTTCTTCTTCTTATTCTTCTTCTTATTCTTCTTCTGCTTCTTATGCCTTGAATGATTAATTTAAGACAAGTTTTTATCATAAAGATAAGTAACGATTTGTATTATTTAAGGCTTCATAAGTGTATTACTCACTTTCACCGTAATTAATTTTTTTTTTTTTTTTTTTTATAATTTACTTATTTTTCAGTTCCCAGTTTTCAGTTATTTTATTTATTTAATGATAGGATTAATTGTTTCCATGGCTAATCGGGTTTCAGATTATGTGTATTTTTCAATTAGTTTTTTTTTGGTTTTTTTTTTTTTTATGAACCGCTATCAATACTTGCGAAATATCTCACTTTAATTAGAAAGGAAGTTCCGATGGTAACTCCAACGTCTGTCATTGATCTTTTACAGTTTCAAGGCACTATATTTATAACGCGTGTAATTAAATTATTATTATTTTTTTATTTTACGATTCTCATGACAAAACAGCAGCTTATATATTAAATCGAACTATTCAAATTGAAAAATTTTAATATATTTAAGAAAAAAAAAAAAAAAAAAAATTCAAAACAAAATTCAAGCTTAACGTCTAACAATCAATAATATTACTGTTAACATATAAGTAAACGAGTGCGTAAATATATAATTTATAATTGCATTTTAAGTACTTATATTTCAAATAAAGATTATTTAAAAGCTTTTAATATTTCCTTAAAAAATATATATAGTTAGAAACTTGCTTAAACAAGAAAAATATCACAACGATAAGAAACTGATTAAATAAATAACTGCGATATTTTTAAATAATAGTGGACACTACGTGGACCTCACGGTTTCTGTGTGAATATTCTAATTTCAAATTTTCTTTTTCATCTTAACGTATTAGTATACGAAACTTTTTTACAATAAATATTTATTAAAAATATTAACTATGAATCGCTTTTACATCTCTTGATTAAATCAAATTAAATATTTTTGTAACATATTGTTTAAATTATCGGTAACTCAAATTCTGATGATAGTTTTTACCAGAAATGATATTAAAATATTTTAATGTTGCTTTGTTTAAACGACATTCTATTTAAGAATACTTAAACCATTTTTGTTGTTAATTAATTTTAAATATAATCTAAAAATCCAATGCACTATTGATAAATATTTTTGAAAACTATTTAAAAATTATTTGAAAAATGCTATTGAATTAATAAAAAAAATCTGAATTTATTATTTATGAAGTTGTATGAAGCGCATATAACATATAATAATTTTTTTATTATAAATATTAACCTTCATTAGTAAAGTAATGTCTAAAAAATAAGTAATTATTTATTATTTATGTTTAGATTTTTATTTTTTATTTTTCTACTGAATGAATTTTATTATATAATCATCTTTATTAATGAATACGTTAATTCATAACATAATAAATGATTATTCAATATTTAAAAACAATTCATAAATATAATATAGTTAAATTTATCAAATATATATACAATTTGATTAATTCATAAGTGAGAGGAAAATTTGTTTAATTAAATTTATCTTAAAATTTTTAACCTCGTTAAATTGAATGAATGAATATTTATAAAATTTTTCGTCTCTCGAAAGATATATAACTTTAATACATTTTCTTATTAGGATTATAGTTTTCATAATTTTTCAAAGGGATATTTATATTTCTTTTTATAACAAAAAAAATATATATATATAATTTTCTTTGATTTCATACCAAGACTTGTATGTGTATGATTTTTTATTTTATGATTTTAATTTCTGTTTATAATTAAGGTGCAGTAAATTATATTGTAAATTTAAAATGAGAATAAGTTTTCTTTATTTCCTCTTTTGATAGATATTTTACTAATTTATTTCGAATCTACATATTGTAAAACTTTTTTTTATATTATCTCATTATCTTGTAATTGAATAATTGATAAATTGATTGATAAAAATGCTTCAAACGATACCATTTTAATTGACAGCGAAAGATGGAATGCATTGCTCAGATTTTCATTAGAAATATAATTTTTAAATTAATATTTTACCTTTTCCATAAGTATAGTATACGTAATTATTGCTTTTAATTATATTAATATTGTTTATATAATTTTAAATAATTTTTTTTATAAAACTACTTAGAATATAGTATTAGTATGTGCCTGTATCTAATATAATAACGAAAGTGTTTTTATTTAAGCCCTAAACCATATTTACAATTATTGAAATTATTGTTTGTTACAATAGAATTGAAAACTTTTTATTTTCATGTTTATATTGTAATTTATTTTGGTATAATGAAATATTAGTTATTTCTGTATCGAGTGTATTCTAAATCTATCAATTTTTCTTTCTATTTATGCACTGATAATATTCGTGCGAAACACTTTAATATAAATATACAAAAACAATAGATGTACATTTCATAAAAGTTTAGATTTATTGTATAATAGTAATATAATTAATATTATCAAAAACTAAAATTATAAGCATTAGATTATTTTAATATTAATTTTAACGAAAAAATATAGGTAATATTTCTGAGCAACGGTATAACTATGAAAAATTTAAATTATATTTTAATTAAAATATCCACTGATAAAAATATGATAATATATTAAATAGTAATGAATTGCCATCTTTAGTTAAATCATGTATATTTTATTCATTTTCATGTAGAAACGAATAGTTGTATATTCGTGTCATTATATAAATAACATCTTTTATTTATAATAATAGAAAAATAATGTAAAATATTTCCGTTTTATATATTGTATCACTTCTTAGGAGTTTGTGGTGTACTAGTAGCTTTGAAAACTAATGGGTTTGAAACTCTAAATATGCTTGGTAGCATTGTCGCCAAAGTGCCAAAAACTTCTTCGGACATACCCTATAACATACATTATTAATAATTTATATAAATAATATTATAAATCGTTATATATTTTAATATTATCTGTGTCAGTGATACCTTTGGAACTAGAAATTGTAGATTTTTTAATTCTGCTCCTCCCCACGAAGACATTTCTATCATAAATCCTTTCACACATTTGAATACGAGCTCTGCTCTTTTCGTACACCACGCTACTGTCATTTCCTATATAATTATAAATAAATTTCGTTATAAAGATTTTACATATTTGACATATTTTAATATCAATTATACGAAATATTTTACTTCAGTCATTTCATGTACTAAAAGAACAGGTATCGTTAAGGTTGTAACATCATTGCAACAAGCTGTTTTTAAAATATTTCTCAATCCTAAAATAGCTGGATGTCTTGAATTTATATCACCTTAAAACATTAATTTTATAAAATATTACGTTTATTTATATTAACATGCATTCTCACATATGATGTTATTAATGTAATTGCATTTATAGGTTTTGTTCCGTTCGACATATGTTTTAAATACTAACCTGATCTCAAAGAATCATTTACTACCATATGGAAAATAACGTGTACTTGAGCCAAATTTGAATGCCTTGTAATAAATACATCGCCAGTTTGTAATGTTTTACTCAAAGTTGATTTTTTAGTATGTTGCTGCAGATATACAGGAGCATTTGAATTCATTTAATATACGTTGAAAAACATGCGCACAAGAGGAAACTTTTAATCGACAAACCTGCAAATCATTATCTTCTTTATGGTGTGCTTGTCTCCAAGCAACGGCATCCTTCACATCTTCTCGTATTTTTTCCAATTGTTCATCGATTGGTGGAAAGTGAAATTCTGTGGTTAATTGAGATATAGAAATAAGTTCTGTAAAAAATAGATTGAATGAGACAACAGACTTTATTTTGTTTTTATTGTATAACGCCTTAATAGAAAATGAAAACTAATTGTATTAATAATAAATGTATGTTGAAGATAACTGCGATAGAACAAACCTTTCGTTATGCCAGAATAACTTCCTAAATGATTATCGCTCAATAGAACCAGTCCACATAAATCGTTCGAATATAAACCCAATGCGGTCTGTAATCTTTGTGGCGTAGGATCTATGCTTCTGATAATGTAAATTTATTATTATATATAAATACTTAGCTACTTAAAATATCGAATATATATACATACTCAGAATCAGAATTTTTAGTTCTACAGAAGTCAAGTACATCACCTGTTAATATTCTAATATTGTGCATTTGTTTCATTTGTGAACCTAAATGAATAGTAAAACTTTCTTCCAATTGCTGGTAATGAGATACACCTTTCTTATCATCCTTAACGCAATTGTAGAACCCTTGACCAAGTGGTGGCATGGGAACCATTGGCGATTCACTGAAAGTAAAATAATATATAAATATCAATTCCATAGCTATTGTATTTATGATTTAAAGTAATACTATTTTTAGATCATCTATTCATTTCCAACATGTAAAAATGAGAATTAAAAAAAAAGAATGAAACTATATACAATTAAATGCTTATTGTAAGATAATTGAAGTACTATACACTGGTGTTGGTAACATATTTGTCTGTTGCTCTTCTAATAATCTCATTATCCAATTACGGTACTGTCTTCTTTGTTCAAGTTTTAAAGCATCGACTTTCGATCCCCAGTGACCTTGCAATAAACTTTGTTCTTCAAAATGACGAGCAGCCATGTCATTAATAGATTTTTCAGTCGAACCGGCTTCTAAAGTTTCCACAGCCACATGCATTTCTTCCGTCTGTCTAAAATGAGATATAATTAATTTTAATTCATCGCTGAGTCAATAACAATAAGCCTAAACGGTAAAGCACAAGCTTACTTTTGCGTTAATTGTTGATAGTCTTTGTCTCTCATTTTAATAACTTCTGTCACATCTTTTCCAAATTTATGTTCAGCTTGCAAAATTGGTTCAAGAGAAGGCGAATGCACTAATCTGTGGTAAGCCGCAGCAAATAATTCCTCATCGGTTGTTCCAATTGGCTCTGCATATTCTACGGTCTTAAGTTTATAATTTTTTTCCCATTTCTTAATTATTTCTTCCACATCAAGATCACCGCTCTTAGCAGCATCGATGAGTTTTTCCGTTTTATCATCGTGAAATTTTAAAGTCCATTCTTTAATATTTGCACTCAAAGAATTGTAAAGATCACTCTGAACATAAGGTGGTAATTTGAAAGATGACATAATGCGATATACGAGTTCTATTATCGAACCTTGGAAAGGGATTTTTAAAGGGATTTTTAAACAATACTCTTGATTTGACGTACATGTTGGAAATTTAAATATAAATGTTTTCTCAATATATTCTTCCTCCATATTAACACTTAATCTTATCTCTTATGGACCGTATTTAAAACATATTTATAATACGTTTAATTAATTTAATATTTAATTAATTTAATAGACTGGAAATAAATTCTGTAATAATTATTTCCGATTTACTGATTTCATCAGCATTATTTATAAAAAAAAACGTATAGAAAATTTATTCGTTATTGTTTAAATATTTACATATTAAAATAAAAAATTGTAGTAACCTCATAACAATGCTTAAAACTCAATAAAAAATCTATATCAACAGTAATATAAATATTTTAAAAATAACATAATATAACGGTTTTTTTTTTAAAAATAATTTTCAATTGCAAATCCATCGTTATGAAAACATTTTTGATTCTTGACCATTTAATTCTTGATTCTTATCACTTCTTCACACATCATTGAACTTTCTAATATCAACGACCTTATTAACATTTTGAAAGATACAAATTCTTTCGTTCTCGCTATCTTGATTCAGGCTCCATCGAAAACCTTATTTATCAAATGCTTGGGATCGTCAGTTAATTTTTGCTTCATTAAACACGCCCGGGACGGTTAACTGTAAGGATCGAATAGAGAAACTCGACGAGTCAAACCATCTAATACGAATGTTTTTGCGGCAATGATACCGATTTATAATAATTGTACTTTATGATTATTCGCTGTTACCTTGTGCATAAATACTTGCAGAATCACGAAATTCGTGTCCAATTATTCTCACGCATACTTTCCCACATTTGCCTGACATTTCCAACTAATGTGATTTGCTTGACTTTGGTAATTTTGCAATGTCCTAGGCACAATTACAAATAAAAAGGCTTATGATTATTTATCCTTTCGGATGCTTTAACAATGTCTGGTTAAGTATGACTTTGAAGATATTCTGCTGTAATGATACACATAATAATGTCTTTAAGCCTTATATTATATTAATATGAAAATTTATGGCGTAGAGATGAGCTGAAATAACAGAAAACAATATTCTATAACAATATATCAGTTGCACATACAATAAGAGTTTTTTAAGATATTTTTCATAAGAAAAAAAAAAAATAATAATTTATCAACTAAATTGAGTTTATGAAAAAACAAAGAAGAGGAAAAATTTTAATATGAGAAAATTATTTTTGACACATTATGCTTATACGCCACGGTTATCTTGATAACAAAGTATCATATTATTATTTCATTAGTAATTTTAAGTAATATTCACTTATTTTTGTAATCATGGTTTTGGTAATCATGTATAAAGAGATGCTAAATCAAATAATAAATGTAATCATAATTTCGACGATTTCCTTTAACTTAATCCAAGTTAAAAAGACATGTCAATTTCAATTTTTAAATGTTGATGTTTCTAATTCTTATTGTCAACAATTCAATGATATTGAAACTTTAAACATTAAATTGTTTCAAAAATGCATGAATTTAAGCAAGATTCGTCTTGTAATTGATAAAGTTGTATTGGCACTCGCGTAGGTAAATTGAAAGCGAACCTCTGCGAAGCCAATTACAGTACGAGTAAATAGGATTAATTTTCAATTAAAATTAACGATACAATTGAACTTTTAAAAAATGGTTGATCAAAAAAATAATAGTGAATTAACGGATGCCGAAGCTGAATTGTATGATAGGCAAATTCGATTGTGGGGTCTTGATTCTCAAAAACGGTAAGCTAACGCTGTGCATAACCTCTAAATTTACCGGTTTATTGAAAATTTCTAATAATTTGTAATTCAAATTTCATAGACTCCGAGCTGCAAGTATTCTCATAGTTGGATTAAACGGATATGGAGCAGAGGTGGCAAAAAATATTATACTTGCTGGAATCAAATCGGTAACGTTTTTAGATCATCACCTAGTTACGGCTGAGGACATTTGTTCTCAATTCTTGATTCCTCGTGATCAAGTGGGTAACAATGTAAGTCGTATTATTAATATATTTAGATCATAAGCATAAATTCTTCCTATAGTTTAAATTATGTTTTATTTTAGCGAGCAGAGGCGTCTTTGGCGAGAGCCCAGAACTTGAATCCTATGGTTAAAGTTATCGCGGATTCTGATAATATAGACAATAAATCAGAAGAGTATTTTAAAGACTTTGATGTAGTATCGGTTACTGAATGTACTATAGATCAAATGAAAAGAATCAATAACGCATGTCGAAAATACAATACCAAATTTTTTGCGGGAGATGTTTGGGGAACATTTGGATATACGTTTGCTGACTTAATAGCACATGAATTCGCCGAGTAAGTAGTTAAGTTAATAAAATTATGCCTGCCGTTGATCATTTCTATTTTTTTTGTTTGGCAATTTTGTTTGACAATTCATTTTAACCACAGCTTTTAATTACGCTGTTTGATATTTGATAATTATTGTACATTATGCGACATTAGAGAAATTTTCATAAGCTTTTGTGTAATAAACGTGAAATTGTTAGATTAACAATTTCTTAATTTCATTTTGTTTATTTAGAGATATCGTTCAAACGAAAAAAGTTCGTCAGCTAGGAGCTGGTGAGCCTATTAACAAAGACAAGTTTGAAAAAGTTACCGTGACTATAAAGAGTTTTGAGAAATTTGTGCCTTTTGAGAAGATCTTAGATGCATCGAATCTCCCAAAAGACTCCGATACATATTATTTGCTTCTTGGTAAATTTTCATACAGTTTTTCAATTTATTATTCAACTTATGCTGAAATTTTCATCTACCGTATATAAATTTTACCTTTTGCAGTTTTGCTAAATTTTCGGGAACATCATAAAAGGAGTCCTTTGCCAACCGATAGAAGTACAAATATCTTGAACGAGGAAGCCAAAGTAATCATTGAGAAATACAATCTCTGTAATAAATTAAATAATTTATTAAAGTAAGTAATAAAGATGGTTAAAGTATATAATTTAATTTAGAAAAGAGTAAATATTTATTTAATTTTGTACTTATTTTCAGTGGGGACTTTTATGCTCAAATTAGTCCTGTATGCGCTATTGTAGGTGGTGTTCTTGGCCAAGAAATTATTAAAACAGTTTCGCAAAAAGAAAGACCTCATAACAATCTGTTTATATTTAATCCAAGTACAATGTGTGGCCAAATTCTTAGACTATCCTAATTTATATCTAAATAGTATAATTATAGAAAAATCTATCTATGAGAATTATAAAAATTAAATAAGATCTATTTTTACTGCAATTTTTATCTTGTAAATGCCATTTGTAAGAAAATTACGAAAGAAAATTTTAACTAAATTCTTTATGTATATTTAAGCTATGTAAGATAATAAATGAAATTCGATACAATAATAATTGGAGTAAGTGAACATTCTTATTACGACATTTTAGATAATGCAGGCATAGTTAATGTAGTTTTATATGTTTTAAATATTATCAGAAGACTGAAGTGGAATAAAATAATATTAAAAATAAGGAATGGAGTTTACGATTCAATCGCTTAGGTGCAAATGACAGGATATATTTTTAAAAATTTAATGAAAATAAAAATTATATTGATATATTGATACATATTGCTTTTGTATATGATTATTTTGAAAAGAATCCTTAAAGTATTTCATCGCAATTTAATTATTGAGAAATTTTAATAAATCTTATATTTTTAATTTTATTCATACTTTTTATTTTGTTCTCTAATTCTGGCCGATGATTTTTACTTTTGTTCCCATACGAGTCTTCATTAAGTATTATATCAATATAAATAGCGTATTTCAATATTCGTATTATCGTTTAATTTATGAAATTACAAATTATACGGACGTCAATTACATTTATAGTATTTTCCTTCAATTTATAATTTTTAATGTATTATGTTTATATTATATTTCTTAATTAAACTACCTACGGACTTTGTGAATTTTAATCATTTATTATTATTATTATTATTATGGAAGTAGTTTCAAAGTTTTATGAATGTATAATTCTTATCAGGCAATAATTAAAAATGAAAGAATTAATATATATAAAGTATAATAATAGGGAAAGTCACGAGTTATCTAAACGATATGATAATCCATTATTTTTTTCATCTTTTCAATTTATATTTATTAAAATTTATATTTCATATATTATTTATCTAAATTATTAATAAAATATCATGTAATAAGTGTTAGAACTTTATATTAGCCTGCGTTATTTTTATATTACTTTCAAATTGTATGTTAATTTTCATATTCAAAGTTTCCAAATTAATACAGACGATTGAAGTTTAGTTAAATTAACAAATTTTAACTCACCCCAAAATAATCGCAAATCCCTCGTTTCTTATTGCAAATTTTATTAAATTACTTTCTTTAGTAATTCTTCGATAATCTGTACGCCACATTTTTATAAAAATTATTATAAAAAAATATGTAATTTAATTATAATAAATGTAATAAGGACTATTAAAAAGTAGGGAGTATATTTAAATATTTAAACGTTTCCCAACCCCAACGATTTCCTTCGCTTTAAAATTATTCGTGAAGTTTATGGTGAAGCACTTTTAATAATTTTAATAAAAACTTCCTTGTGCACGAATTCCTTCGAGATACCGCTATCTTCTTAATTCGTGCTTTATAGTCCCTTTCAGAAGGGAAAAAGGCTCGATTTCATCTTAATTTCAAGGAGCTATTTTGCCTCTGACAGCACAACGTCTTTCACTAGTCGCGAGATCGTCACGATACAAGTGAAACATGCGAATGGGATTTTCAGACTCTTTTCTTTAAAAGGACTGATTTTGCAACAAGTTTTGACGAACTTGGAATCACCTCCTTACCCGGCAGCGAATATCGCTGTATCCTATTTCTTTTTCTCATTATCATTTTTAATTTTGCCGGTGAAAATATAACGGACATTTGTGACGATTTCGGTCGTGGAACTTGGAAACATAATTCTATCAACATCAGCCTTCGCTAATGTTTCCTAAAGTTTATTCAGTACAAGGAGGTTCTCTCTGACTTTTTGTTTTTTTTTACGTTATTTGGAGTAATTATTATATTTACACATTTATAACGAGACAAGCCGCGTATGTCAATCTATTCCGTTAGATCTATTAAACAGCAAACGTTGCGTACGAATATTAATTATAATTATTTAAAGCTGATAAATGAATTAAATAAGAATCACTGCACAAAGGAAATGGAGAATAAAAAGAGTCTATTTCGTAATTATGCTCTAAGATTAATTGAGTTAATAATGTTTTAGTGTCGTATATAACGTATTTTAAGTATTATTATATTAAAGGGGATAGGCGAAGTAAATAGATGGATAAAGACATAATGAGTCGAGTGCTGTTGCATTAGCGAACGATTTCATTAAAATATAGAGAGTCGTTTTGGAAGTATACGATAGAAGAAAAATGATCTTTTGTAAGATTGATCACAGGGGCCGAGTTATAAGATGATTGTAAATAAGGATAACGTAAGAGGATAATTAATCTAAGTTTCACAGGCTAAAAATGAGAAATTCGCTCCTTCTGATCGAATTAACCACTGCTGCCATCGCGACAGGCGAATCACGACGATATTTACATGAAATTGATCGCGAATAAAGATAAATAGATTTCTTTAATTGATGCGAAGTTTAACAAATGAAGTTGGCGGTGCGCTTAAACGCGCTTAATGCACCAAACAAAAAGGCGCAGGTATAGAGCACATGTAGGCGATAATGTGGACTCGTGGAGCACATCCTAACGGCATCGCCACGTGTCCTCCTATGGGCGCTGAATTATCCGTTTGACGTTTTCCCGATGAGCCACTCGTACACGCGCCTGACTCACGCCCCTCGAAATCGAGAGAGAGAGAGAGAGAGAGAGAGAGAGAGAGAGAGAGAGCGAGAGCGAGCGAGAGAGAGAGAGAGATAGATAGAGAACGAGACTTTGACATTTCATTATTAATTCAACCGGCGCGGCACGTGACCGCCGATGATTTTCTCCCACCTCCGGGGTCTTCCTTTCTATATCTCGACCACGTCCATTTGTCGTAAAGAGAAAGACAATGCTAGGCAGAACGGGAGAGACGGTGAGAGAGAATGAGAGAGAGAGAGAGAGAGAGAGAGAGAGAGAGACGGTGAGAGAGGGATGAGACACGAAGATAAACGATTGGCGCCTTTTTCCTTCTTCTCATGCGCGATACGTCGTGGCGCACGCATTGCGACCTTAAAACATGGGGTGGAGATAATTGAGTGCTCTATTGGATCTCAACTTAATCTCACGGGTTGTCACTGTGAGCTTTTCCATTTGTAACTCGCCGGTTGCGCTGATTTTTCGACGAGCGTTTAATTAACGAGTCGGTGCTGCTTTGCATGGAAAATACTTTTCGTCAGACGAGATTTATACCGCTTGCCTTTTAACCATTCGTTGATGAACGAATTATTATGATTGTCGAGTTCCATCGATACTCATTTTATATCTTTATTACTAGGCCCATTAATCGGCGTATATCTGCTTGTTGTACAGACTTTTGACTTTTTATTTTAAAAATTGTAGAAGCAATGGTCGAGCTTTAATGTACGATATCCTCCCTCTCTACGGCTCCTTTTATGTGAATGAAAAACTTAGTATAAAAAGACAATTAGAGCATTAAGCTGAATATTCATGATGGACGATAGAAATTGTAAATACTTTGAATTGTACAATGATTGTTGGATAAAATCGCGTATAATAATAAAAGAATTAACATTTAAAAATATAACGTCATTGCAATGCATATTATCCTCATTATTCGGCTAACATACGTAAGCTTTATATGTTGACATACGAATGTATTTTTTACATTAATATTTATCGTAAGAGCTAGTAAAACAAATTAATATCTGTATAAATAATGAATACATCGCGTATTGAAGTAGAATTACCACACTTTTCATATTATTATTAACCAAATAATATGGGAAATTAGGGAGTTAAATTTTGTTAGATTATTAGCTTCATTAGATTTTGCAAACATTATATAAAACTCAAATGTATCATTTAAAAGTTTTTACAAGTAAGCCCATTTTTTGATTATTTCAGCACTTTTAAGACAAAATCTTATTTAAAAAGTTTAAATCTCCTCAACAAACTAGTTTAAGTTTATCGAAGTTCGGTACATTTGATAAAAAAAAAAAGGAACTTTAACATAACATTTTCAGGTTAGTTATTATTCGGTAGCACAAGAAAATATCCACAAATACAAATACAAATGCAACATATTAAACGAAACGAGCAGTTAAAATAAATAGTTTAAAGGCATTTAATAAATATTTAATATAATTAGAATTCGAAAGAACCTTTGCGCTTATAATGATAGGTTAGATTTAATTTTCATAGGTTCGACTACAATAAATATAGTGTAAATTTGTAAAAAAAAAAAAAAAAAAAAAAAAAAAAAAAATGAAAAAAAGAGTCAATATCGCAAACTAAATTATTATGCAATGCTAAACGTACAACGTGAAGTACAACAAAAGGTAAATAAAATTAATAAATAATAGCAGTATCACCATTATCATATTTTCAAGTAGTCTCGCACGCAGCCATTATTTATCATGCAAATTTAATCGCAAAAATTCTAAGAACTTAAACGCAAGCTTCGCGTTTGATTTTACGACAGTTTGTACACAGACGGAATAAAAGTGGTTAAGAAAATAAAAAAAAAATTAGAAAAAGAATAAGAAAAAAAAAAATCCTCTTCATAAGTAATGAATGGCGTGAGAAAAAAAAACTAGTTAAAATACTGGCATTCGTGAAGAAAAAAAGTCGACGTTCGGTATTCGTCTCTCGGGGTAGTCACGCGATTTGACGTTGAACTTATTAAGTCGCACCATCAGAAAAGGCCGGGCTATGATTGACGTAGGTGAGTCAGGCTTTCGTTTACCGACAATAAAGGCTCTTTTTAACGCCTTTTTTCTTCATCTGTTTACCGAATCATTAAGGATACGTTGCTCCCTTAGTACGTTTGGCAAACATGGGAAGTGACAGTATAATAAGTGTTTCATTTATTTCAATTATTTACTGTATTTATCGACGACATATTTCAATGACGTAGAGTGCCGCGAATTAATTGTACGAGCACAATTATAATTATTATAATACTTGCATGTGCAGTTGGATTGAAGAAGAATTCGTTAAAAATTAATTGTGTAATCTTATTGACAATAAGTTACTTAACCACTTCGTCATGTATTTAAGCAAATGATTCGGATCTTCTAAATGTTCCATATGAAAAGTATTATTTTGATTAAATTGCTA